CTTTTTATTATCCTGTTTTGGCATCCCATAAACGGATAGAGTTGTCTTAACTACAAGATGCTAAAGTATTCCCATTAGGAGAGAAACAGACTGAGTAGACAGTGTTAGTATGACCATCTAATTTGGCTTTTTATTATCCTGTTTTGGCATCCCATAAACGGATAGAGTTGTCTTAACTACAAGATGCTAAAGTATTCCCATTAGGAGAGAAACAGACTGAGTAGACAGTGTTAGTATGACCATCTAATTTGGCTTTTTATTATCCTGTTTTGGCATCCCATAAACGGATAGAGTTGTCTTAACTACAAGATGCTAAAGTATTCCCATTAGGAGAGAAACAGACTGAGTAGACAGTGTTAGTATGACCATCTAATTTGGCTTTTTATTATCCTGTTTTGGCATCCCATAAACGGATAGAGTTGTCTTAACTACAAGATGCTAAAGTATTCCCATTAGGAGAGAAACAGACTGAGTAGACAGTGTTAGTATGACCATCTAATTTGGCTTTTTATTATCCTGTTTTGGCATCCCATAAACGGATAGAGTTGTCTTAACTACAAGATGCTAAAGTATTCCCATTAGGAGAGAAACAGACTGAGTAGACAGTGTTAGTATGACCATCTAATTTGGCTTTTTATTATCCTGTTTTGGCATCCCATAAACGGATAGAGTTGTCTTAACTACAAGATGCTAAAGTATTCCCATTAGGAGAGAAACAGACTGAGTAGACAGTGTTAGTATGACCATCAAATTTGGCTTTTTATTATCCTGTTTTTACATCCCATAGACGGATAGAGTAATCATCACTACAAGAAGCTAAAGTATTTCCATCAGGAGAAAAGCAGACTGAGTAGATATAATCAGCATGACCATCCAATTTTACTTTTTATTATCCTGTTTTGACATCCCATAGACGAATAGAATTGTCATAACTACCAGAAGCTAATGTATTTCCATCTGGAGAGAAACAGGCTGATACTACCCAATGCTCATGACCATCCAATTAGACTTGTTATTATCCTGTTTTGACATCCCATAGAAGGATAGAGGAATCACTGCTACCAGATGCTAATGTATTTCCATCTGGAGAGAAACTGACTGATGTAACAGTATCATTATGACCATTCAATTTGGTTTTTTATTATCCTGTTTTGACATCCCATAGGCGGATAGTTTTATCATTACTACCAGAAGCTAATGTATTCCCATCAGGAGAGAAACAGACTGACAAGATTCCATTAGTATGACCATCTAATTTTGCTTTTTATTATCCTGTTTTGACATCCCATAGACGGATAGAGTTGTCTTAACTACAAGAGGCTAATGTATATCCATCAGATGAGAAACAAACTGACCAAACTCTATCATCATGACCATCTAATTTG